TTCTATGGAATCTTCGATGAAATGTTTAGTAATGGTAGCTGAGAGCCACCCAGGTCTGGCCTTATGGCAAGGAGACAGTGTCTGGAAGCAATTAGCCACACTTTCCATATCTTCTGATTCCCGACTCTCCTTCTTACTATGTTGTTCCAGGCAAACAGAGACCAATTACTGGGCCTTGGATGGCCACTTGCAAGCTCAGAATCACTAAACATGTTATTAGACCAATTAACAGTGATGTCCCATGAAACCATGACTCTAAAACTTCCAAACCAAGAAACCAGATCCCAGGAGGCTTTTGGTTGTACTTAGCAACTTCAGCAGATTTTCCTTTTGTCATTGTTATAAATATTTCTATCATACAACTTTTGTTAATTCAGCTTTTTATAGGTGTACAACTTACTGACAGCAATTATAATAATCAGCTGTACAACCCTGCCCTTAAGCAAGGCAATTTTCTATCACTTCCCCCCCTTTCTCCTGCCCTTAGTCACTGCTAATAAACCTTCATCTCTATACATTAGCCTTTTCTTGTCTTTTTTATATAGTGAGGTCATACAGTATCTGTCCTTTTGTGACTGGCTTATTTCACTAAAATAATGTCTTCAAAGCTCCATCCATACTGTAGCATGTATCAAGACTTCATTTTTCTACTGATTGAGTAGTATTCCATTGTATATATGGGGCACATTTTGTGTCTATATTCATTTCTTGATGGACATTTAGGTTGTTTCTACATTTTGGCTATAGTTCATAGTTAATAGTGCTATAATGAACACTGGATGCTGAGTCTTTGTGGTTTCTAAGGTACCATTACACGTTACACTGTTTTCCACAAACGCTATACCACTTTCCATTCTCACCAGCAATGGGTAAGGGTTCTAATCTCCCTTCATCTTTGCCCACATTTGTTACTGTTTTTTTGTTTGTTGTTATCTTAGCTATCCTCATGGTGGTGGTGGTGTGCTGTGGAGTTGGTTCCGACTCATAGCGACCCCTATAGGGTTTCTGAAGCTGGAAATCTTTACTGGATCAGAAAGCCTCATCTTTCTCCCACAGAATGGCTGGTAGTTTCGAACTGCTGACCTTGAGGTTAGCAGCCTGACTCAATAACCATTATGCTATCAGAGCTCCTTTAGCTATCCTGTTGTTGTTAAGTGCCGTCGAGTCAGTTCTGACCCATAGTGACCCTGTATAGGGTTTCCTTGTGGTAGTGAAATTGTATCTCCGTGCGGTTTTGATTTCCATCTCTTTGATGGTTAATAGGCGCTCTGGTGGTGAAGTGGGTTATGTGTTGAGCTGCTAACCACAGGTCATTGGTTCAAACTCGCCAGCTGCTCTGTGGGAGAAAGATGAGGCTGTGTGATCCCATAAAGACACACAGTGTCAGAAAGCCCATGGAGCAGTCCTACTCTGTTCCATAGGGTTGCTATGAGTTGGAAGAGATACGATGCCAGTGGGGTTTTTTGGGTGTTGATTGCTAATGACACGGAGAGTATTTTCTTGTGCTTGGTGGCCATTTGAATGTCTTCTTTGGTGAAATGTCTGTTCAAGTCCCTTTTACCATTTTACAGTTGAGTTATTTGTCTTTTTTTTGTTGTTGAAGTTATGTTGTTGTTGTTAAGTGCCGTCGAGTCAGTTCTGACCCATAGCGACCCTGTACTAGGTTTCCGAGGCCGTAAATCTTAATGGGAGCAGAAAACCTCTTCTTTCTCCTGCAGAGTGACTGGTAGTTTTGAACTGCTGATCTTAAGGTTTGCAGCCCAATTGATAACCACTACGGAGTTCTGGTGTGGTGCTGTGGGTTAATGTGCCAGACTGCAAAGCTGTTTGAACTGCAAGGTTGGTGGTTCAAGCTCACCAGCTGCTCCTTGGAAACCCTACACAGGGTCGCTATGGGTTGGAATCGACTCGACGGCACTTGACAACAACAACAACGCTATAGAGGTTGTTGAATACATAGTTTCTGAAAATCTCCTAGTTGGTAGCTTGTCTTTTCACATAAAGTCTTTTGATGAACAAAAGTTTTTAATTTTTATGAGGTTTCATTTATTTATCTTATGCTGATTGAACTTTTATTATATTAAATAATTGTTGAAAACTAGGCCTTACAGTGTTGCCCCTTGGTTGTTTTTCTAAGGATTTTATCGTTTTAATTTGCACATTTACATCCTTAATCCATTTGATTTTTAAAAAATGTACAAAGCGAGGTATGGTCTTGTTTCGTTTTCTGCGTGTCATGTGGAAATCCAGTTTTCACAATACCATTTCTTGTCAAGAATGGAGCTGACCACAGATGTGTGCATTAATTTCTGGACTCTCAATTCTATTCCATTGGTCTATGTGTCTATAGTTATACCAGTATCAAGCTGTTTAGATTGCTTTAGCTGCATTGTTGTTGTTGTTGTTAAGTGCTGTAGAGTCTGGTTCCGACCCATAGAGACCCTGTATAGGGTTTCCGAAGAGCAGCTAGTGAGCTTGAACTGCTGGCCTCGCAGTTCAAGCGGACTTAGCAGTTTAGCACATTAATCTGCAGCGCCACCCCAGGACTACCTTTAGCTGCAGAGTTTGCTCTACAATCAGGAAGTGTGAGTCCTCCCACTTGGTTCTTTTCTTTCACTTTTTTTTTTTTTCTATTTGGGACCTCTTGTCATTCTATATAAAGCTGAGGATTGTTTTTCCTATTTCTGTAAAGAAGACTGCTGGAATTTTCACTGGTAATGCACTGACTCCACAGATCACTTTGGGTACTTTTGACATCTAAACAATATTGTCTTCCAATCCATAAACATTGAACACCCTTCCATTTACTTAGGCACTCTTTTGTCATTTTCAGCAATGTTTTAAAGTTTTCATCGTATTAAGTCCTTCACATCCTTGGTAGATTTATTCCTATGTATTCTATTCTCTTAGATGCTATGGTAAATGGAATTGCTTCCTAATTTCTCTTTCAGATTTCTCATTGCCTGTGTATAGAAACCAACTGATATTTGTTTGTTGACTTTGTACTGTGCAATTTTGATAGATTCCTCTATTAGCTCTAGACATTTTCTGGTGGCCTCTTTGGAATTTTCTATTATGTAGGATAATTTTACTTTCAGATTCTGTTTTTTTTTTTTTTAATTCCATGAAGGGATATATAATCATTTAAACAACCACAGGGCATATTCTAGAAGTCAGTCTCCTGTCCACCAGCACACAGTCTTTCTCTTTCCATGAGTCTAGAATCCTCAGCTGCTCTCTCTCTCTCCATGTCATCATCTCTGGCTCCATTTCTGGTATCGCTGTTTCTCTGGATAGGGTCCCACATTCCGCTTGTGCTCTTCTTTGATGGTGCTAAGATCCTTTGTTCCTGGAGTGTAAGATGAACTACTCCCTACTTTTTGTTATACAACTTTTACCTTTATAGTTGTGACAATCGCAATTAGGTATGATAATAACTACTCACTATTGAATCAATGAATCCCATCCCCATCTCCTTTCACCAGACCCATATAGACAAGAGGAAAACTGTTCAGTGGGGACTCTACCTTCCCCTGCACACTCTGAAACTAAACTCTCTCTTGAAAAATTGCAAGCCAGCCACTTCATGCCTTTATAGACATACTCTCTACAATTTTAGATAGCCAATGTCTAATTGCCCATACCTAACAACCCTGTATACAGAGGGGATAAAGGTTGATCCTTGATGTGAGGACTCCTTCCCTCTCAATTGGTATTTTGAGCTACTACATCCATAAGTATAGGTCAAGTTCATCAAATTGTAGCAATTTACACTTGCTTCCTTTATTAAATTTCTTTATGTTCCTGTAGTCAAGTTCTGATCATCAAACCATCGGTATTATATATATAGAATGGGTTCTATCTACAAGTTTGGGCATTCTTGCACATTAAGGTCTATTTTTAAAGCTACTTAAAATAACAACAACAAAAGTCACTCTGCCATCAAGTAGATTCTGATTCATACATGTTGCTGTTAAGTGCCGTTGAGTTGGTTCCAATTCATAGCAACCCTGTATAGGGCTTCCGCAAAGCAGTTGGTGGGTTTGAACTGTTGACCTGTGGTCTGCAGTCCAGTGCAGCTCCTACAGTGTCACACCAGGAGTCTGACTCATATATAGGGTTCCAAAATTGTAAATATTTATGGGAGTAGACAGTTCTATCTTTCTCCCACAGAGTGAGTATTGGGTTTGAACTGCTGACATTGTGGTTAGCTGTCCAATGCCTAACCCATAGCACCACCAGTGCATCTTAGAGGAGAGAAAAAAAATTCTGCATGGAATCAGAGGTTGTGACAAGGTGTAAATCATGGTCGCCAGCCAGAACATCCTTGGAGAAGCAGCCAGACATGACAGCCAAGGTTAACTGGCTCAAAAAATCAAATACCGATGTTAATTATAACAGGGCAATGAGAGGGAACATTCTTTCCCACATTTTAAAAGAAGTTCATGTTTTACTTTGTAACAGTGCGACAGACTTTGCTGATTAACTAAGCATCAATTACTAAAGCATTCAGTAGTACCTGCTCATATAATGAATAAGATTAACTTTCTCTATTTCGGTTTCTGACACTGTCAAATACCAATAAAACTGACTTTATTAACAACAGCAGCAGCAGCAGAATGTTTATTATATGCCAGGCACACTGCTAAATTCTTTATGCACATTATTTCATTTCACCTTCAAGTAACCTCATAAGGTACTGTCATTGCCAGCACTTTATAGACAAGGAAACCAGCCCAGGCCGTAAGCTCCTCACAGGCTGGGGTATTTGTTTTGTTCATTGATGTATGGCAGGTACCTCAATGAGTAATGACTGGGTGCTCAGTAAATGCTGTTGGCTTATCCAAGAGGATAAGTCGCTTGTCTAGGGTCATGGTAGCCAGTTGTAGAGCTGGGGTTCAGACCTGGTCTATGACACCAAGTCTGGGTTCCTGAGCCCTTTGCTATGCTGCTTCTTGACAGAGACAGACAGACAGGCACTCCCAGTTCTGACCACTCACCTGACTCCAGCTTCCAGTGAACCACTCTACCTTGCCAGTGCAGGGCCCGTTGTCACAAGGGGTGGCCTCCGCTGGGCGGTTGTTCCCACAGCCCTCCAGAGGCAGGCTGCCAATGTGGTTGGTCATGCACGCGACTGAGCGTGTTCGGACACCAGCCCCGCACTCCGCTGAGCACTGCAAAACAGGAGGGGTATGTTAACTGGAGCACCTCCCAGCAGGTTCCAAAGTCACTTCCAGATGGTGTAAAGAGTGACTCAATACCTTGTTTTCCTACCAACTCTTCCCCCCCCCCGCCCCAGGCTTTTTGTCAACTTCTTATGCATTCCCTGGTATTTCTCACTCCACTCCATTAGGGGGAGCCCCTGGAAGGTACAAACACTTAATGTGCTTGGCTGTGAACTGATGTTGATGGCTTGAGTCCACCCAGAGGAAATTTGGAAGAAAGACCTCACTATCTACTTCTGAAAAAAATCTGCCATCAAAAACCAGATGGAACACAGTTGTGCTTTGGTACATAGGGAGTCGCCATATAGGGGTCATAATTGGCTGTATGGTAATTGGTAAGAGTAACACGGTTATGAGATATCAGAATGGCAAGCCCTTTCCTGGATTTCCCTAGGACAGTCTTCATTCCTAATATTCTGTCCCAGTGTTAATATAAACACACATATATCTGTTAGACTCTCTGTCCTGGCTTTCATTTTCAAAAATAGAATGGGCCCAAGAAGAATGAGTGCATGAAAAGTGAGGCCCACGTCTTCCTTCTAGTAGCAGATCTGGGCTGGTCTGGGAAAGGAGAGGACTGAATTCTGTTACATCAGCATTGCTGTGTGATACCAGGGCAGATGCTTCCAATCTCCAAAGACTTTACCTTAGAGCTACAACCTGTGGAATATGGAGCTATAGAGGGAGACCTTGGCCTTAGAACCTTGTGGTTCGCAGCCTGATTCGTAACCACTACGCTACCAGAGATCTATAAGGGCATTAAAGGGTCAAGTCCTACATTTCTACTTTAAAATGGAGAAGGTTAGACTCAGAGAGGTGCATAGACCGATTCCCCACTCATAATGTTTCTCTTGTACAATCACACTCTGACCTCACCTAGGCAATGCTGAGAATAATCCCGAGTCATACCATAAGGTTCAGAAGAAGGCGTTTTCCTTCTGTCTTTAAGTACTTTAGAAAGCCGTCTTATTTTGCTTCTCATCCTCTATTTTCAGACCTTTTCTGGATACTGTCCAGGTGTACCACAGGTACCTCACATCTATCAGGTAAAGAAATGGAACACTACCTCCTTCACCACTATACCCTTGCCTTCTCCCGACTTTCCTATCTATATTCAGACTTCTACCTAGACCCTAAACTGGTCTTCTTTTGCCTTCCAACACCTTGTCAACCACCAGGTCTCCGAGATTCCCATTTCACTGTGTTTCTCTGATCTGTCTTGTTCGTTACAAGCACACGGTTCCCATTTACTCTATCTCTCATGAAGTATGGCTGCAGCTTCTTGTTCAGCCTCTCTGACTGTTCTAACGCATTCTGATGTCCTTCCATCTCTAATAATATTCAATCCTAACAAACTTCTCCAGACGGCATGAAAAGTTTCCTTCCCCCTCCCATGCTGGACAGAGTGACCACCACATTAGGGTCTCTCTAAGTGTTCCTAGTACCTTTGCCCATGTTGTTACCCATCACCTGGACACACTGAAACCCGGTAAGGCTAAGTTCAATGCCATTTCCTCTGTGAAAATGTCTCTGATTAGCACAATTCAACATGCTCTTCCAAGCCTCAGAATTCTCATGGTATTTTTGACTCTGCTTTCTCTTTGTGTTATAGCTTTTGAGTCCATTCTAATTTTTCTCTCTTTTCTTTATAGAACTCAGTTTGGTGAGGGTGGGGCCTATTGAATCATCTTTGAATCCTTTTCAGCACCCAAGTTAGTGCCTTGTCCAAGGACAAATCCATGAATATAAGTTGGATATGTGAATGTAGACCTGAACTCTCCATCACTCACTTCCCTTCTCTCAAAAACAAACCAAACCACACCATTGCCATCCAGTTGGTTCTGACTCATGGTGGTGGTGGTCCTGGTGGTGGTGGTGTACCATGGATTTGGTTCTCACTCATAGTGACCCTGCATAGGGTTTCCAAGGTTGTAAATCTTTACAGGAGCAGAAAGCCTCATCTTTCTCCCACAGAACGGCTGGTAGTTTCGAACTGTTGGCCTTCAGGTTAGCAGCCCAACTCATAACCACTCATAACCAGAGCTCACGGTGACCCCGTATGATGGCGTGGAACTGCTCCAGAGGGTTTGCTTGAATGCAGTCATACAGAAGCACATCACTAGGCCATTCTGGGTGAGTTCCAACCACCAATCTTTACGTTAGTTGTTGAGGGCAAATCATTTGTGATACTCAGGCCCCTTCCCCCATCAGCACCTTCCAATCTAGGGGTGTCTGCTGTGCCTTCTCTTAAAAATGAAGTTCATGTTTGGTTTCTAATCCACATTGTCAATTTGAAAAATAAAAATAATATAATTCAAAACCAAAATAGACAAAAGGGGAAAACTGCTCACAACCACATTTCCATATTAAAATTTCCATTTTCATTTTTGCTTCTTGCTTTCTAGTCTTGTGAAATCACAGCTCCTCATAAGCAGTGCAACATTTCCACAACACTGCTGAAGCTGCTAGTCTGACTTCGCAGGGACAGGGCCTGCTCAGACTTATAGAAACCACTCAGTGGCACTGGGTTAGCTTTCATGTACCTTGAGAACATGTATGAAGCAGGTTACAGCTACTTGGCTATATAAACGATACTATTTCTTTCTGCCTTTACGTTGTTTGTAGTGGGTTTCCTGTGATGCCTCATGATTGATGATTGATGATTGATTGATTGATGATTGATGATTCAATAATCATATGATTTGCTCTCTCCTTCAACTACGGCGAGGAGCCTGGTACCATTGTGGTTAAGACTCAGGCTGCTAATCTCAAGGTCAGTAGTTTGAAACTACCAACCATTCCATGGGAGAAAGATGAGGCTTTCTGCTCTCATAAAGATTTCCAGCCTTGGAAACCCTATACAGGTTTGCTATGAGTCGGAACCGACTCCATGGCACACAACCACAACCACTATGGAGGGACTCCAGGTGTGGTGCTATAGGATCTACAATGGACTGTGAACCACAAAGTCATCTGTTCAAACCCACCAGCTGCTCCTCAGAAATCCTATACAGTGTCGCTGTGGGTTGGAACTGACTCGATGGCATTTACCAACCACTACCACCAGCACCACACTATGGAGAGGTTTTCTGGGATGGGAACTGATTTTATTTTAAACTCTTTCCAAACAAGCACACATTTCTTTACCTATCACATGGCATTAAAGTCCAACTCCTCATCCAGGTAGGAACCCTGGTGGCACAAAGATTAAGCACTTGACTGCTAACCAGAAGGCTAGAAGTTTGTACCCAACCAGCTGCTCCACAGAAGAAAGACCTGGCTATCTGCGCCCATAAGACGACAGCCCAGGAAACCCTAGGGACCAGTTCCCATCCATCCCTGACTCGGAATCGACCCAATGACACTCAACAACAGCCTCATCCAGCTGCTGTAAGAATCAATGGAACGAAAGCACTTGGTGACCAGCCTCACTGAGCAGGTGCCTCTTCTCTTTAGGAAGTTAGTACCATAAGGGCTGGGCCACATCTTTCTACCATTCACCGCCATCATTTCTCCAACACCTAGCCAAAGGTGAAACACTTTTGAAGCTTTTGTTTTCATTCTGGAGAAAAGATCCAGGGTTAGTCTGGACACATATTATGTTCTGGCTTGCAGAATGTGCCCTTTGGGCATTCACAGACTGGCTAAGAGAAGTTGGTAACACTTGCGTGAGCAGAGCAGAGCCTGGGGCCTCATGGCTGAGAAACTGAGGACAAGGGTGAGGCGTGCCTGCAGTACGGCAGACAAGAGGCGTTCCTAATGGAAAACTGCTGCAATCTGAGATGGTTTTTGATACTGATTTGTACCCTGTTCACTTTCATAATAAACCCCATAATCATGCGAATTGTTATGCGTTCTGTGTGGCCATCGCAGTGGGTTATCAAACCCAGATGTGAGGCAGAGAGTGCTGTGGGAGGGATGGTTGGTGTCAGAATAGGGGAACGAAGGTTGTAGGGTGGAGGCATGTCTGACCTCTGCTTCATAGGAATCAGCCTTGGGCTGAAGTTGAGTTTGATTCTCCTTCGTCTTTGTGAAGTCTGAGGAAGTCAGACATGATCCCCACATAGTTTAGCTGATATCATATATGGTAAAGTCGAGGGCCAACGAAAAAGAGGAAGACCCCCAACGAGCTGGACAACACAGTGGCTACAACACTTAACTCAAACATAGGAAGGATGGCAGTGAGTGTTGTGTTTTTTTGTGCATAAGGTTGTTATTGTTGTTGTTAAGTGCTGTCAAGTCGATTCTGACCCATAGCGACCCTGTGTTTCCAAGGAGCAGCTGGTGAGCTTGAACCACCAACCTTCCAGTTCATAAGGTAGCTGTGAGTAAGAACAGACTAGAGGGCACCTATGAACCAACAAGAATCACCTTTGAGTTACTCTGACACTGTAATCCTAGAGGGAGGCCTCGCTCCTGGGGAGGGAGCAAGAGTCTGTGAAAGGCTCTTTGCTGTAAGCAGCAGGGAAGTATGAAAAGTGAGAGGCCTTCATTTATTTAGTATTTCATTGTTTAGCATTCATGTGGAGTACTAAAGTGACTGGATTTAATGTTTCCACACCTACTGCTAAATCTTCAAGTACATCCTATATAGAGTTAATATTCTTCTCCAACACCATAACTCAAAGGCATCAGTTCTTCGGACTCATAGCCACCCTGTACAGGGTTTCCCAGGCTGTAAATCTCTATGGGAACAGAAAGCCTCATCTTTCCCCCACAGAACAGCTGGTAGTTTCAAACTGCTGACCTTGGGGTTAGCAGCCCAATTCATAACCACTACGCTACCAGAGCGCCTTGTTAGGTCCTTATATAAGGACTCGAGGTCTATGATAATTCATTTCTGGGATGTTTACTCCAGACTCAGAAGCCATGCTCTAGTGATTTGTCTAGTGTGAATGGCCCCTGGTGACATCAGCTCAGTGGGGCCTTGGTCTCCAGCTCCGCCTGCTGTCAGCTCACCCTCTCACTCCAGTCGGTGAGGAACCAGCTCTTTGCACAGGGCCCCATGTCACAATTCTCAATGTCACTGGGCCGGAGCTTCATATTGCATTCCTCGTCGTCCACCACGTCCCCGAGGTTGCTCACGCACTTCACATCTCGGGTCCTCTGTCCAACTCCACAGGGCACTGAGCACTGGAACAGAGAAAGCATGTGTCAGTGGAATGTTGGATCTCCAAGGAAGATGGCTCACCAGTTATGGTGGTCTCATCCTTTGCCCCCTGTGTTGCTGGGTCCCCTGTACTGCATGGACTTGGGGAAAGATAAGAACCCTAGAAAACCTCACAACTCTTTACTAAGAACTTCTTAAATGGCTTGCTTACACTGCTCCTCTGGGCCTCAGTTTTGTCATCTGCAAACTGGGAGAACAAACCTGGAAAAGGAGTTGGCTCTACCAGCAGTTGTCAACCTTCTCCCCATTGCCACGTATCAGACATGTGAGGTTCTTACACATACAGCTCCCATGGCACCCCCTTGAAGTCGGCCATGGGTGATGTCAACTTCTGTGTGGTAACTGCCTCCTTGGTTACCACACAGAAAATCAAGGCAGCATCTCAGAAAGAAAAGAATAAGGGTGGCACCATTGTAATTAGACCCTTGACTGTGATTTAATTTCTAAACAGGGAAACGATACACTCATGACCCTGTGTTCCCCCGTATGTTGGGACAGTAGTTGAAAAGCATCAGATTGGATGGGGTCTCAGGTCTCTTCACCCTCTCTCAGTTGGTATTTGATGGTCTTCACTTGGAGACCCTTTCTAATACATTGGTATAAAATTTAGAAGTCAGAGAATTTAGCTATGTTTGCATAAATTGGGATGTGGAAAAAATGACTGTTATTTCATTGGGAATTTTTAATGTTTGCCACAGAAATTCTGCTGGTCACATATTCCACAATTACCAAAATTCATAAAGAACAAAGACTCAGCATATTCTTGGTTGGCAGTTTTTTCTTTCAGGGTTTTATGTATGTCTCCCCGTTGCCTTCTTGCTTGCATGGTTTTTGCTGAGAGAGCCGAGCTTAATCTGATTTGCTTGCTTTGTATGGTACACTTCTCTTTTCCCTAGCTGCTTTCAGGATTCTGTCCTTATCTTTGATTTTGGAGAGCTTGATTGTGATATGTCTTGGTGATTTTCTTTTAGGGTTTATCCTTCCTGGGGTTCATTGAGCTTCTTGAATGCTTATTTTTTTGCTTTTCAGGATGTTAGGGAAATTTTCTTCCAGAAGCTCTTCAACTATCTCCTCTGTGGACTTGTGTGATTCTTTCTGTTCCAGATGTTGATAATTCTTGAATTATTCCTCTTCATGTTGTCCAACATGAATCTTAGGCCTTCTTCAGATTTTTTAAATCCTTTTTTGTGCTTTATCTTCTATCTTAGTAGTGTTGAGAGATTTATCTTCTAGCTCACTAGTTCTGGCTTCTAACTCTTCAATTCTACTCTTTTGCCCTTTCAGTGTATTGTCCATTTCTGAAATTCTATTATTAATTGTTTGGACCAATTTTGGTAGGTTTTGAATTGTTTCCAATGCTGTATCTATTTGATTGTTCCTGTAGCGCTTTCCTGACTTCTTCCTTATTTTCTCAACTCTATTGTACAGTGTTTTGAGACATTTTATAATCATTTTTCTGAATTCCTTCTCAGGCATTTCCAAAGCTTGCCCATCTTCCAGTATGCAGTGTAGGTCACTTCCAGCTCATTTGCCTCAGTCACTTTATCTTGTTTCTGGACATGTGCTAATATGGTCATCTGTTTCTGTTTTTTGGGCATATTTCAGGAGTTAGCTATGGCTTTCATACTTTGATGGGTATGTATTTTGGTATTTTTTATGTTTTCTGATTGCCTCCAGTTAGATGTGATCAGGAGATGGGCTTCCTTTTTCACTCTTCTTCTTGAGAAATTTCAAGATGCCACTGTTGGTCATTATGATGTAACTCAGGATTTAATTTTTGGCCTATTTCCTTTTTATTCTGCCTGTCCTGCTCCATAACCCCTGTTCAGGCCTTTTTCTTAGTGATAAACAGTTCAGGGCTGGCTGTGGCCATTTTGTGCTGCTGTTTAGTTTTAAGTTGAAACTGTTCCTTTAAATTTCGAGGAGATCTGTGCGCATACGTAGGGGGTGGGGTGTCCACTTGCTCAGGCACCTCCTCTAGTCACCAGAATGGAGGTGCACAGACAGCAAGAGACCAATGAACAGATACAAAAAAAAAAAAAAAGAATGTCCACACCTTTATCTCTGTGGTTCTGTCAGGTGTCTGTGGCTGCTCTGATCCTTCCTCTGCTTGGTCTCTCCCAAGATGGCGGCTCTGGGAGCAGTTGAGCATCTTGAATTAGAAAGCAATGGATTTCGGGCTTCTGCTACAAATTCTCCTAGCTGTAAGCCTTCCAACCTTCTAAATATTCCTTTATATGTGGTTCAGAGTTCTGGCATCATCCCCTGAGCCTGCTTGGTCCGGTATTCTGCGTTGTTGCTGACGGAGCTCCTCACTGCACATCTACCCAATGAGCCATCTTGTTTGTTCTCCAAGACTCAGTATATTCTTGACTTTCACATGCCAGGGGGTGATAGGGATTAAAAAACAAAGACACATTGACATTTTCTCTCCAACAGTTTCATCTAGAGAGGGTTCCTGGCAAATAAGGACCATCTCAATCAGGGAAGGAGGTGGCTGGTCAGGTGTGGGAGGGACTCACCTTGCAGGGACTTCACAGGGGCGAGAGCTCCTGAGATGGGCCTTGGAGGCTGTGTAGGAGCTCACCAGAAGGAAATGTGGGGACAGGGAGAAGGAACAGCATCATCAAGGGCAGGAAAGCATGCAGGGTGCAGACTGAGGATGTGGGTAACACAGGGGAATAAACGCAGGAAAGGATATTGGAGACAGACTATGGAGTTCCTCTCAGACAACCTTCTGCTGTTGAGGTGGGCAATGGGGAACCATCACAAGTGTAAAGCTGTATTTTAGAGCAAGTCTCTCAAACTGTCACGCACACACATGACACAATTATCCAGCACTCAGATTGAGATGCTGCACATCTAACAAGCTCTCCAGCTGAGGTTACTGGTTTGTGGACCACACTTTTGAGTAGCAGCAGTTGGAAAACTTGCCAAGGGCAAAGGCTATATAGATGAAATATACCAGGATAGGAACACACCAAGTTGGAACTGCCAAGCTGTGGATATATCCCCCAGTTTGCAAAACATGTTGCCTGAGCCCCCTGGGAAGGGTTTCCTCCTGGAGAACTTAGCCCCTCTTGAGGCTTGGTGGGGGACCATGGGAGCTTGGTGGCGGGACTTGGCCCTGGCGTACCGAGGTCCAGTCGGTGCGGATCTGCCACTCGCTGCAGATCTTGAGCTGGCAGGTGCTGGTGGTCTCGGGCTTCTCCAGGTGCTGGCAGCGGTAAGGCTGCACAGTCAGGCTGTGGTTGGCGTACACCTGGCGACACAGGGCCTGACGATGCTGCATGCCCAGGCCACAGGTTTTGCTGCACTCGGACCATTCCCCGATGTCCCAGCTAGTTCAAGAACGAGAGAGCAAAAGCGAGAGATTATCTTCCATCTACAGGAAGAGAATGTGCGACCCAGCCAATTGACAACAGAATCATCTGACTCGTGCTTTGCTTAAAAGTCACCTAACAGTACTCTGGTTCTTCAATAAGATGTGACTTTGTTCCATTTCTTATTTACTGTTGATGAGGTCCTGCCCAGATGGTAAAGTTATAGAAAGCTGAGACAGTGCAAGTGATGTGCATTCAGTAAAACAAACAAACCCCAAAGATGAGTTTTATTGCCATGATGAACATTAACCAGCTTTTCACCAACTATTTACATTAGTTACCTCAGACACTAGCACAGGCTATCCCACCTCTCTGGATGAGCCTTGGTGCTTTTACGATTTGAAAATTATCCTTTGGATGCCCCCCCACCCCCACCCCTTCCACACACATACACACACATTTTCTTCCCAAAGTCTCCTAGTTATCATTCAATAACCCACCCGAAACCTCCCCTGCAAAACTTCTCCTGACTTCTTTGGGCAGATGGATTTGTGATTCTATTATTCTATGTACACAGCTCATCTACGAGATTGATCCCACCAGGTTATAATTCTTTGCTTTCCTCTTTTTTTTTTTTTTTTCTACCAGCCTAAAACAGAACCACTCCAATTTCCCAAAAGGTGGGCTTCCTGGGAGTGGATTGATCTGCTAAAGGCTACTAGTTCCTGTGTCCACCTGGGAGGGTCCACCAGGCACATTTGTCCAACAACCTGCAGTTTATGAACGGACAAAGTCGTCATATTTCCCAGCAGATTTAGACTGATTTAAAGATTAGATTCAGAAGTGGGGAGGGACGAGTAGGTGGAGCACAGGGCAGTTTTTGAGAGTGAAACTATTCTGTGTAATACTGTAATGGTGGACACATGACATTATGCATTTGTCAAAACCCATAGGACTGGCCAACACAAAGAGTGAACCTTCTGGAAGACTATGGACTTTAGTTCATTATAGTGTGCCAACGTTGGTTCATCAACCAACAAATGAACCACAAGAATGCAAAATGTTAATCACAGGAGAAGTAAGAAACCTTCTGTATTTTATGTACAAGTTTTCTACAAATCTAAACTGCTAAAAAAAAAAATCAGGTCTCTTAAAAAAAAAAAAAGAAAAGAAAAACTGAACAAAAAACCCCCAAAACAACAAGAAACAATGAAATCTGAGATCTTATTCACAAGCATTCAGAAAAGACTGGAAGGTAGACAACTTAAACAGAGAGTCTTACAAGGCTGGGCACGGGAAGATATTGCAAGGCTCCTCCTCAGGGGTGGGCTTCATGCTGGAGTCGCAGTAGTTCTCAGGGACCTCTTTGTGAGTGTTTCTGTTCACACAGCGAAAAATGGGGTACTGAGATCCTGCAATGAGAAGGAGAACATCCGCAGGGCAGTCCCACACACCCGAGTGGGCTCGCTGGACAGAGGTGCACAGAATGGGGACTTCCAGGATTGGTGTCCTTGCCTAACCAAATGCTGGAGAAGCTGGGCCACAGACAGTGAGGAGCACCGCCCTCGACACACTCCCTCTCTTCTTCATGCGTGTGCTCACAACTGCTATGTATCTCTGTGGTTTTGCTGGGGGTGAGACATAGTTCCTGCCCTCAGAGAGTTTATAATCTACTATGGGAGGGCATGGTCTGAACACGGTCAAAGGCAGATACAAATGCTCCTCATGTCAGTTTCAGTGTAATAGGGGAATAACAGTGAAATGTACATCAACAGTCAGAGCTGGGAGGTGCTCTGGGGCGGCAAAGAGAAAGGATCCTAGATGGGTGCAGCTGTGTCCTGGGGAAAGACGTGGTTTGGTGAAGTGTGTGTGTTGTGCTTTGTGTGGAGGAGATTGTCTAGGCCACTGAAGTGGACACACGTGCCCAGCAGACTGGCTTGAGAGTTCCAGGCACGTGTAAGGCACATGGACATTCAGTTAGACTGAAGCAGAGATGTCAGAAGATTCAAGAAAAAGTAGAACAGCTAATCCCCCACCTCTCCTTTAAAGTGTTTTATACATTCCAAATACATCTGGATCTAATGAATTGATCCAAAGGTATTTTAATTATTTGCTTAAGGTATTTTACTTATTTGCTTAAATGTCGGCTTCTCATAAGACTGTGGACTTCTTTTGAGACTATGAGCCTGTCATTCAGTCTTTGGCAGTAAAAACCCACTGACATCGAGCCGATTCCAATTCACAGTGACCCATTAGGGTAGTGAAGAACTATATAAGGTTTCCAAGGAGCAGCTGGTGGGTTTGAACTGCCAACCTGGTGGTTAGCAGTCCAGTGCTTATCCTACAGTGCCACACTAGGAAAACTCCACAGTAATGGTGTTGGTTGTGTGCCGTTAAGTTGGTTCTGACTCATAGTGACCCTGTGTAACACTTTCAAGTCTGTAAGTCTTTAAGGGAGCAGAAAACCTCATCTTTCTCCTATGGAGCATCTGGTAGATTTGAACTGCTGATCTTGATTTTCAGCCTAACTCAGAAGCCAATATGCTACCAGAATCTTTTTACAGTACTACTACTAGTAGCAGTACAACTAGTAGTTGTTATGAGCCCTCGAGTCAGTTCTGACTCATAGTGACTCTGTTAGAGGCTGTAAATCCTTGTGGGAGTAGAAAGTCTCATCTTTCTCCCAAAGAGCATCTGGTGGACTCGAACTGCTGACCTCGTGGTTCACATTCCTGTGCTTATCCTACAGAGCCACAGCACTAAATAAAAGCTCGTTGAGTGAATATTTATCAGAGACTTAATTTTTGTTTTGTTACTTTGCTAAAATAGTCATAGTAACTGCTTGAAGTTTTAAAAAATATAACCTATTCTCATTGACTTAATAAGGAGAAGTCTATTTTGGATAAAAATCCTGTATTAAGAATCTCTAGTTCTCATTTAAAAAATAAAAATGAAGACTCAATGCCAACTTGCCTATGCTGCCACCTGGTGGCAGCACTTGTATGTTAACAACTTGATGTTAAATGCTGTTGAGCCAGTTCAGGCTCACAGCAAACCTGTATGGGATTTCCAAGGAGCACTTGGTGGGTTTGAACCACTGATCCTGGAGTTCACAGTTCAGTGCTTATCCTACAGTGCCATATTAACAAAGGATGCTTATTAAGTGAGAAATGCAAACTACTGAATGAACATTCCAATCACCTGAGGAGTAAGATGTTTCTTCACACACGACGAAACCCAATCTCTTCCCCAAAGTTAGGACTCCTGGTGTGGTGCTATGGGCTAATGTGCTGGACTGCAGGGTCGGTTTGAACCACAAGGTTGGCAGTTCAAGCTCACCAGCTGCTCCTCGGAAATCCTATACAGTTACTTATGGGTTGGAACCGATGCTACAGCACGTAACAACAACAACAACCAGTACAACTTCAGGAATGCACAATACTATCATTAATTTGACATCTCTGCCTTATCTGTTAAGGCATTTATCTGGCCAGGCATTTCTCTCTTCTGAGCCTCCAAGTTGCTACTATTTTAATTGTAATGTGAGAGGTGACTTTTAACATAAATATTGACATATTTCATCAGCCATGAAAAGTTCCTCAGCGCTTCTTTAAACCCATGTTATGCAACACACCGAGCCACAGGGTAGTTTTTGTAAGATGCTTGACAGCTTGTAAGACAGTTTTGAAGCTGGAACAATCATTTGTCTAAATTACTTTTGCAGTAAAAATTTACAATGCAGCTATAACTTGCAGCCATTATTTAAAATAACATCCCAATTAAGCATAATTATTAGCTGAGTCAAAAGCAGTACTGACTACAAAACTAATGGGAAGCCAAACTGTTATGGAATTAAATTTTCCCCAGCTACATATCTGCTTCCATTAAGAGATTCTAAATTAAATCCAACAAACATTAAGCCACACAATATTCACAGAGCATTGTGTTGAGTTATGCAGATGAATTCGCCTCATTCCATGGCTGGTAGTGTAAGGGTTTGGGATCCAGCTGTTAAGGGGTTAAGCACAGATCCTATTATTTAGTCTTTCTCCCCAGACAATGTGGGGACTAGAAAGCACGGTAACTATGTCTCAACAGTCTACTCCAGAACCCCATGCTCCTTCTTACCTGAGTACCCATTAAGTTTGTTACCAATCATCCAAGACTTTCGAGGACATGCTGATTTCAAAGGGTCTGTTCAGTTGCCATATCAACCAGTAACAGTCACCATCTACACTTACCTGCTCAGACTGTGTTTTGCTCCTGGATATGATGTATTCTCTGGGGGCTGACTGTGCTGATCTACCCCATGTTCTGAGCACATAGCAGGTTATTCTCTCCAACCTGTGACATTTATCACTCAAATAAGGGGGGGTTCAGTATTTTTAGCTGAAAGGCTAGTAGATCACCATAAGAATGCTCTTGCCTTGGAGAAATCATCCTGTTTGGTGTGGTTTTAGCCACTGCTTTCCCCACCTTTGCCTTGGCTTTATACTGCACCTGCCCAGGAAATGAACTCAGAGGCTCTGTCTTTGATAGTGACTGTCTCCCTCATCTAATGCTGCTGTAACACAAATACAAGTGGATGGCTTTAACAACCAGAAATCTATTCTCTCATAGTTTAGGAGGCCATAAGTCCAAATTCAGAGTGCCAGTTCTGGGGGAAGACTTTCTCATTGACAGCTCTGGAGAAAAACCCTTGTCTCCTTTCAGCTTCTGTAGTTCCAGCATTCCTTGGAGATTTCTAAACACTTTGACATCAACCTCCTTCTAGATGTAGGAGCTTCACAGGTCAGGGACCCCAGGTTCAAAGGGGGCACTCCATTCCTGGCTCTTCTATCTTGGTAGTCATAGGCCCTCCTCTCTCTGCTCAAGTTTCCCTCCATTTATCTCTTGCAAGAAAAAGGGTCTTGCATGCCATATCCTTGGGAATCTCCCATAAATCAGATTAGGGTGGTAATGGGATTAAGGGTGTATATCCCACTTTTAGGAGCGATTAAGGATAGTGTGTGGTGCTGTAGGATAAGCACTTGACCACGAGGTCAGTTTGAACTGCAAGGTTGGCAGTTCAAACTCAGCAGTTGCTCTTTGGAAACCCCATATAGGGTTGCTATGGGTGGGAACCGATTCAATAGTGCTTCACAACAACAACAACCTCACGTTAATCCTTTTACTAGTTTATCACATCAAATCACTTCATGGGGTTTAGCTACATCTCAATGGTCAAACCACTGAGAATCCTGGTTCAGTCATGCTGACACAAAACCTTACCTAACACACTAGGACTATCATTATCAGCCTGCTCGGTGACTGCAGGTTCCTTCGTGGTCAGCTTTAATTTCTGCAGAAAGGGAGCATGTCATTTAAAAAGGTACCTGGTCACCTCTTTAGAGTCCAAACATGCAGTTCAGTGATTCCACTAATTGGGAGCAAGCCCCAGTGGGGTGATGAGAGCAGGTCCTGGCTGGACTTCAAGTACCAGAAAACTGAAGTCAGTTTGGTTGGGCTGTGTGTTGGTCATGTTGAGTGAAACAGAAAGACATCTGTGCTGTTGGAGGAGGGATTTGTGATGTATGGCAGGGAGTTGGCACAATGAGATGAGGGAAGTTGGCGAATTCAAGGAAAAGTGTAGAGGTCGGTGAGATGTTGTGGAGGAGAGACAAACAGGGAACAAGGATAAAGATGGATAATTCTAGTCTTGGAGCTTCAGCAATCAACCAAGCCAAGCAGAACGTTTGATCAGGTAGGAAGAGTTCGGGCTGAGCACCAGTCACTCTTGGATGCCTGGTAACAGGAGCAGTGGTGAAGATAGGATGAAAGCATTTTCCCAAAGAGACATTTTCACCGAGGCATAAAAAGGTGTGGTCTGGTTAGCTCCACTGGGAGAGGGTTTGTGCTGGGACAAAGGATGAGATCACAGGAGGATGGACTTGGATTGTGCACAAACAGTTGGGCAGCGCTGGCTGGTTCTTTGGTCATGGCTCATTTGTTGCTCCTGTAAGTCCACAGTCTGTCAAGAGATGTGTGAACCCACAGCATCTCACTAGCCCTGGACAGCTGTTACCTTACAGCCTGAAGGAGTCCGGGGCTGCTGCCGTTTGTAACTCTGGTTTATGTCACATGAAGAGAAAAGGGGTAAAGACTACCAGAGAAGAAGGTTTAGGGGACAATGTTGTTGAGTGCCGTCAAGTTGATAGCGACCCTGTATAGGGTTTCCAAGGAGCAGCTGGTGAGTTTGAACGGCCGACCTTGCAGTTCAAGCAGCTTTGCAGCCTGGCGCATTAACCCACAGCGCCACACCAGGACTCCAGGGGACAATAGATGCCTGTATTTATTTTCTTTCGGTATCACTATGGCCTGAGTGGAGTCCTGGTGTGGCGCGGTGGGTTAATGCGCCAGGCTGCAAAGCTGC